GCAGCTGGCCGGCGGGCCCCCCCAGCAGTTCGCGCTCTCCAACTCCGCGGCCATCCGGGCCGAGATCCAGCGTTTCGAGTCCGTGCATCCCAATATCTACGCCATCTACGACCTGATCGAGCGCATCGAGGACTTGGCGCTGCAGAACCAGATCCGGGAGCACGTCATCTCCATCGAGGGTGAGCGGAGCCGGGGGCTGCGGGAGCTGGGGCGCGGTGGCCTCTCCGGCGACAGCCGGAGGCTCTGCGGGCCCGGCCTGGCCCAGCCACGCTTTCCCCGTCGGGGGTCCTCGCGCGCCAGAGATCCGGGCCACGCGGTTTGCTATCGCCCGCGCTGCAGAGCCAGCGTCCAGGGTTCGCCATATCTCGTCGGGGGACACTTTGGGGCTGGGGACCGGTCCCGTGCCAGGGGACACGTTTTTTGCTCTTAGTGCTCCAGGGCGCGAGGGTGGTGTCGCTTCGGGAACGGGTGCGCTCGGAGCCGCAGGGGTGCTGGGGCACTGGGGCCAGATGTGGTCAAGCATGGCCGGGGTGGGTGGGCGCGGCGGAGAGCCTCGGCGGGCCGGGAGGTGGGGCTGCTGCCGGCGAGGCGTCTCAGCTGCTGCTCTTGGCCTGCCCCGCTGCGGGGCGAGGGATCGGAGCCTCCCGTTAGTGGATGGCAGCCTTCCCGGGCCCAGCGCCCGCGGGCCCGGGAGGGTGGCGTTCGCCGCGGCGCCCTCTTCCGACGCACACCCCCACGCTGCCGCGGCCGGGCGGACGCGGGCCGGGCCTGGAGCGGGGTTCGGTCACCGCGACAGCGTGGGAGGCACTGACCGGGCCATCGGCGCCTTCGCCGGGTCCCACGCGCGCGGGGCACCCGCCACTGCTCTCCAGGGAGCCGCTCAGGAGGCAGGCGCGGGGCCGCCGGGCGCTGACCGACCTCCGGGGACACGGCACCGGGCGTCGGGGACCGGAACCCGGGCCACTGCGCTGCCCAGCGTTCCTCTCCCTGTGCTCTCGGGTCTTGGACTTCGGCTGCCGAGGG